CCAGGCAGGGAAACAGAAACCAATCAAATCGCTGGCTGGAAACTGCTAGAGCGGAGAACAGGGGGAAGGCAGGGAGAGAGCACCTTGCCCGGAGCGTCCTCACGCAGACGAGATTTTGGACCCGCTCCACCACGCCGCACACCGTCGCCACAACCTCCCCATCCTGATCAGACGTGCCATGCCCCCTGCACGCAAAGCAAACACACGCGCACGCCCGAGAACCCTATAAGTCCCATCACGAAACACGAGCGGAGCAACAGGTGGGAAGGGGGATGTGAGGGCGGGCTGATACTTGAGGATGGTGTCCTCGGGGTTGACGGGGATGTTGTCCGCGAAGGTGACGGCGGCGGCGGCGGCGGCGGCGAGGATCTGGAGCTCGTGGAGTGCGGCCTCGAGACGGACCCTCTGTGTCTGGTTTAGTCGGAGGCGGAGGTCTCCCATCGCCGGGGAGGAGAAGGAGGAAGCGTCGGAGGTTGTCGGCGTTGCCGCCGGTCGACGGCGAAAATTAGTCTCTTAGAGGGGAGGCGAAAATTAGTCAAAACCCCAAAGATTTTGTTACCCAACCCTGGTCATATGGCCCGTGTTTGTAAGGCCGGTTCGCGGGCACGGATTGTTGGCCCGGCACACCACACGAATAAAAGGGCCGGGCCGGCCTTAGGTCTGCCAGGAAACGGCCGATCTCCGAAGCCCAGCGTTAAGGCCGGCTAGGCCCTTTTATACGCGGGCCGGGCATGACAGGGCCAGGCCCTATTCATAGGTTGCTTCGTTTCTAGGCCAATACAAAGGCCACTCCTATTTGGCGCGTTGGTCGCCAAATAGCGAGCTCGTACATACACACCCCAACAGCGTCAGATCCTTTCTGGGCGGGCCCATTTCGGGATTCCTTCCCCACACTTCTTTTAATTTTTCCTTTGTTTTTTCTTCTAGTTTTTATTTCTTTTTAGTTTTTTAAGTTTTCTATTTCTATTTTTCGTTTTTATTTACTGTTCCGCTTTTCCCTCTTCTCTTTCTTTCCTTTCTATCTTTTCCTTTACTTTTTTTTCACAGCCTTCTTTCAAATTTGTGAACATACTTTCCAAAATCATGACCAGTTTTTGAACTTTTCGAACTGGTGAACTTTTTTTGAAATCATGAACATCTTAAAAAATCATCAACATTTTTTAAAATCATGAACACTTTTGAATTAACGAGCAGTTTTTACAAATTCATAAGATTTTTTGAAAAAACTGAACATCTTTTTTGAAACCCGAGAAAATTTGTTTCGAAATGAAGAACATTTTCAGAAATTGGGGGAACAATTTTTGTAATTCACGAACATTTTCATCAGACAATATTTTTTGAATTGATGAACCTTTTTTGTAATTCATGAACATTTTTGAATTGTGTGAACTTTTTTATAAATTCATGAACAATTTTTGAATTTGCAAATATTTGTTCAATTTCATAACTTTTTTGAATACATGAACATTTATTTCAAAATCATGGAAAAATTTGGTTTCCTGAACTAGTTTTAAAAATCATGAACATTTTTTGAATAAACAAACATTTTTTGTGAGATCACGAATATTTTTTGTATCCACGAACATTTTATGATTTCCTAAACACTTTTTTCCAAATGCACATTTTTAAAATTTTGGAGATTTTTTTAATCCTAAATTATTTATAATAGAAAAACACAAAAATAAAAATAAAGTGAAAAACTTGAATTATTAAAAATATAGAGCCCGATATAAAGCACCAGACGTCAAATCTCTCCATATTACGAGAAACCCTAACCTCACTATCCCAAGGAGATGATAGGAATCTATGCTAGAGCTTCGTCGACTGTGTCCAAATTAACAAACTTGAGGAGGAACGTTCTAGACCGATTGTGCAACAGGTCATGCAATTGGTCTAGAAGGATAGAGGGGAATATAGGCAACCTGGTTAACACTTTTAATTGGATAATGGTTTATTAGACCAACTATTAGCGCCTCCATATTTGATCCTTGCGGTGTCAAACAATTTGAGAATCAAATGAAACTTGAAACTAGCCTTTTCATAATAGAACAAGGCCATATAAAAATATTCAAAACACTTGGAGACCTTTTGTTTCCCATTTGTGAAAAATAGTTCAAGTTAATTAATTAATCAATTGTCATGCAATGCAAATGATGCACAATCAATATAATAGCAAAAAAAGTATTTAGGGTATTATCATTGGGTGTCACATGTGGGGCCTCAACCTCTACAAGTATGGACTCCGCGCGTGTTTGTTCGAAGCGGGGCAATCATGTCAGGCATTGATGGTCTTCCTTCTCCGCACGCTTCTCCTCATTCCAGTGGACCATACACATGTCATATAATGCTTACAACTCGGCGAGTTTGTCATCGTTGATGTCGGTGGGGCCGTAGGATTGGCTCAAAGTCAAAGAGTAAGGGCTTGACAAATCTAGCCTACCCAGGCTATGCAATGATGAGGTGGATGGCAACGGTAGCATGAGGTGGAATAAGGATTGGCACTGGCTCAGGCTCAGGCTCCACAAATAGGAGCATCAACGGGCTCCGGCACAGTGGCGGGAGTGGATGCGGCTTCCGACAAGGCTTCAACTGGGACTGTCATTGTTGTCGTTTGTTGTTTAGTGAGGGGAAGAAGGGCGTTAGTGAGGCAACGCCGGTCGAAGGTGTCAGAGGAAGTGCGCCAATGCTGGTGAAGCGGTATAGAAATGCCATAGCCCCGTATATATAACCTAACAATATCAGTCGGCATCTGGGAAAGATGCTTCGGTAGCCAAACAAGTGTCGCCGTGGGAATCGTGTGCCGGTTCAACGCATGCTCATTGAGAATCCATGCATGATAGACAAACGAGCGCCATCGTGGGAATTGTCGTCGGTTCAATGAACGCTCATTGGGAACCCATTATCGATAATCGATGAAGCATGAATGTGTTCATATTTCTCCGTTTAATTTTTTGTTGTCCGCGTGGGAAGAAGATCACGTATAGAAAATATACCAATGATCGGCCTTTAAAAAGAGAGATAAGTGATAATAGGCTACCATTGACCAAACAAATAGGCAAGCCCATCTGTGTTGACATATCGTCTGGGGGAGGTGGAAGAACCCCCTACCATTGACCGGTCGAAACTAGACCGAACAGTGTAAACTGCCTCGGTGAACCAACCGAGGCTCATCACTAATACATCCTAGATTTATCGGTCAGTGATGACCATCATCACTAACCAGTGATGAGATGTTAGTAGTATTTTGAGTATATAGTAGTGCGCCCCGCAGCCGTCAGAATCTAGCCGCCCTCATTGTCTGCTAGCGGCGGATCCACGACTCTCCCTCCATCGATCTATCCATTTAGGCCACCACCGCCACATTCGGCCGCCGCTCCATCGAGAATCGTTGCCGCCGCCGGCCTACATGACGCCTAAAATGTTGCCATGCCAGCAGCCGCCACCTCCATGCCACCGTGTTGCGGGAAGCACACCCTTCCATGGCCTTCGGCTCCGGCAGTCCGGCCGCTTCATTGCTAAAATCAACTATGATCGGCAGCAGAGATGGCTCGGCACCTTTACCACACCCGAGCTTTGTCGCGTGTGCTTACGACGTGGTGGCTTGGAAGTATCACCGACTCCAGCTCAACTTCCCCCATATTACGTCGCTCGAGGACGCGGAGTTCCTCATCCCTGGACTATGAATCGTGTCACGCGGTGAGGGGAAGGAAGATCTCCTGGTGGTGGAGCAGCGCACCGCCCATGAGTGTGATGCAGTGGCTATGGTGAGATTCACTAAGGTGAATCCACACCTCGTGGTAGTGGGGCGCAAATTCTTTGCCAAGAGGGTCGTGAGGCGCAAGAAGGAGGACGAGGTTGGCCCTGACAGGCAATCAAGATTGAGTCCGACAACAACAAAGACGATGTCGAATTCGGTAGTGATGAATCGTTGCTGGAGCTTTAGAACTGTGTGGAGTCCAAGGATGGTGACCATTAGTGTGTCTCTAGTGTGCGTGTAGTAGTGAATCTATCGTAGTATTGCTATTTTCATGTTTATTAAGTTTGAACATTTCGTAGTTCAAAATATCAAAATATGTGGTGATCTTGTTTAAAGTTTGGAAGTTAATTTTAGGGCAATTTCTGGTGACCTAAAACCTTCTGTCCTACTCTACTTTTTTTACACCAACTTATACATCATCTGTCTTCCCGCAAAAAAAAAAAAAAACTTATACATCAACTGTCGGAGATGCTCTTGTGGGCAGCAAAAACAATAGAGCAGTGCTACACACACGATGCTGTGCGCACGATTCATGCACGACAACAGATCCCTGTCCGTCCATGCATGTAGCAGAGTCCAGCAGACCGTTTGATCCCGCATCGTTCATCTGTCGTGCATACTGTTGTCGTCCGCGCAGCAGTTCCGAAAACAATATAGTGTGGATGCCCTACTAGCTTCTAGATCTCTTCAACACACGGGAGGAGATGGATTCACAGAAGGCATGCAGGGATGCATGCGCCCCTTCATGCATGGCCGCATGCATCAAGCATGGACTGGACCGATTAAATAGGAGGACCATCAATCTTTCGTGCCATTATTTTCGCGTTCTCCTTCTCTCCCCCATTTTTTCCTCTCCTCTTTTTTGGCCCGCCACCCCTACTAGATTGACAAAAAACAAAACAAATATTTCCCTTTGTTCTCATAATCTTCTTCTAGTAGCTCCGGCGAATTCTGCTCCTCTCTAGTAGAGGATGTGCTCGATCGGGACGCTAGGTTTCAGTTTCTAGATTGATTAGGAACATATACGTACAATGCGTTGAGCTTTTGATCTTCCATTCATTCATGTTTTTGTCTTCGATGGTTTCTGACTCCTCCGGCCCGGCGATGCGTGGGAGGTAGGCGACGAGATCATCCGCCTCTCTCCCCCTCTTCTCGATCTCGATCGCATGTAAGCTTTGAGAAGAGGAAGAGGAGGAGAGAGGAAAGGTGAGGCGGATCATTTCACCGGTCCGTCGATCGATCGATGGCTGTGGAGGCGCCTCAGCAGCCTGAACAAGCGGCGGGTGGATCCGTGGAGCAGGGTGCGGCGGCGGGCGGCGGCAGGCTGAAGAAGGGGCCATGGACGCCGGATGAGGACCAGCTGCTGGTGGAGCACGTACGGCGGCACGGCGAAGGGAGCTGGAACGCGGTGCGGCGGGAGACGGGGCTGCTGCGCTGCGGCAAGAGTTGCCGGCTCCGGTGGGCCAACCACCTTCGCCCCAACCTCAAGCGGGGCCCCTTCTCGCCGGAGGAGGAGCGCCTCATCCTCCGCCTCCACGCGCTCATCGGCAACAAGTGGGCGCGCATCTCCGCACACGTGAGTACCACCGGTCGTTCGATCCCTTTACCCCGCCTCGCCATTAGAATTTCTTGCCTGCCGTTGCCTATCGATTGCCTGGTGCCCGATCTGCGTCTGCATGCAGCTGCCGGGGAGGACGGACAATGAGATCAAGAACTACTGGAACACGCGGCTGAAGCGGCGGAAGCGCGCCGGCCTGGCCCTGTACCCGCCGGATGTCGAGCGGGAGGTGGCGCTCGTCCGCGCCGGCAAGCTGAGGCCCATCGTCGACGCCGACGGCAACGCCAGCAGCCTCCAAGCACCGCTCCTCCTGGACGCGGCCGCGGACCAGTTCGCCTGGCCGGCTGCGCCGCCGTTCCACCCCGCCTTCAACAACGTCGCTCCTCCGCAGCCTTTCCAATTCACCGGCAACATTAGCCACAACCCGCAGGCCCTCCTCGCAGCGCAAGTACCGTACCTCCACCACGACGAGGTTTCCGCCGGCCTCGGCCACGCCAACAAGCTTTACGCCGACGCGCTGGGGATGCCACCGTTGGTGCCCCCCTCTGCGCAGGAGCTTCCTTCGAACCAATCGCCCGCCGACGCCGGCGGGCCGCTCGAGATGCTCGTCCTCGAGCAGGACCAGCGGCTGCCCGGCGCCGCCCTGCTCCGCGTTACGTCCATGCCGGAGCTGGTCTACAACGAGAACGACTACTCCGCGTGGCCGTCCGGCCTCAGCGGTGGCAGTGGCAGCCGATCCGAAGGCGACGTGACCTCGCATTATGGCGGGAAATGCGACTGCTTCTTCGGTGAGTTGGATCTTGACCATCGTCTCTCTCCCAATCCAAATATGTCACGTCCGACTCCGGTGAGTTAACAATGCCATGCATGATGTCGTCGACACACGCGCAGATGGCGTGAAGCCTGCGAAGGGGATGCCCGCGAGCTTGGCGGTGGCAGAGGAGGAGGTGTCCGGCCTGTTCGGCGGCGAAGAGTTGGTGGCCGTGTGGCCGGACAAGCCGCCGGAGTCGATCACGAAAGACGACTTCAACCTCCAGATGATGGAGATGCAGCACCTCATGCCCCCCGTGCCGCTCCCGGCAGACGAACACGGCTTGAATTAATTAGCACAACGCCGCTTCGCAAACAAAACTGGAACAGTTCAAAAGAACAAGGGATTTAAAAGAAAGAAAAAATAGTGTACTGCTGTAGTAAAAACTCAGTTAAGGCCCATCATGAAAATGTTTGTCTTTGTCTTTATGCAACGAGAGATGGATTATGTTTGTAAAAATTGATTCGCGGAAGCAAGCCAAGGAACATGGTCCGTCCATCCATAAAGTGGGTTATTTGCTCGCAACGGTATATTTTAGAACCGAAAATCCTACATCTATGAAAAGCTACGTAGCTGCTCTTTACGCAAACTTTCTAACAACTAAACCTCTCCCCTTTTAATTTTCAGAGGGATGGGCCCGTCCTTCCCTTTACCTCCAATCATACGAGAGTGGCCTTTCTACTCTCGGGTGTGGGTACACCTACTATCCTATCCATTCCTTGTAGTTGTCTCACCTCGTGATCCGAACACTACTCTTCAATCCTGTTTTGATTTGCAGGCCTACATACACAATAACTACAAGTCTCACTCGACTGCATACCTAGTGTGTAGGCTGGCAGGTCACATCTCGCGTCTCTACACTCACGTGAACCATCGTCTGCCATCCTTCACATATCTCTATTTCTCCTCAGGCCATGTCTAAATTCTACTCCCTCCTTCCATCTATATAGGGTCTAATACATTTTTTGAGACTAACTTTAATCAAATGTTAAAGCAATAATATATGACATGCAACTTTTTTTTTGCGAAAAATATATGACATGCAACTTACACAAAGCATACCACCAAATTCGTATGTGAAAGAAGCTTTCAATGATATAATTTTTACGTTATGCATCTTATGTACTATTAATCTTGTCAAAAGTCAAATGAGGTCTAGAAAAATGCATTATGCCCTATATAAATGGAACGATGGAGTAAAATGGATGCATCATGCATGATCAGTCAAATCACTTCTACCCCCAATCTCTCTCTCTCTCTTGAAAGCTCTCTCGCATTTATTATCAGCGCTCTCTCTTGCGCACTCTCTCTCTCTCTCAATCAGAGAAATAATCTCTCTTCTCCATCGCTTGCTTCTCTCACAGACTCTCATTCACATATTTCAATAAATAAAATAAGGCACGCATCACCTCTCTCTCTCTCTTCAATTTCTCAAGGGAAAAGTGTCTTTCTCTCGAAGTCTGTCATGCATGCTTGCTCTCTCTCTCCTCAAAATCCACACATTTGCTCTCTTGCGCTATAGTTGAGAGTGAGGTGACTGCTACAGAACCTGCCCTGACATATCTATCGTGAACAATTGTGCCTATGACCTACGCCCTGCCTAGGCTCACTTACTGGTTTGAACGCATGCGTCCTGCAAACAGTCTGCAATGCGTCGGTCCATCTCGTGAATCTCAAAGGAATTCAAAGGCCAAGATAAGAGGTGTGTGTACACGTGAGAGTAGCCACATCTTTCCGCAATCATATTCATCCACCTAGTTTGTTACGTTAATTACGTAGAATCGCACATGAAGTCAATTTATTAAATCTCAAACGATATCATATCTGTGGTTGTTTGGATAACTAGTATTTGAAACAAGCTTTAGTAAAACCAGTTTTATGATTATTTTTAGGAAAACCATTTTTAAGTTGTTGTTTTATTAAAACTGGTTTATAGAATACTTTGTTTGGCGTCTCTTTGGGTCATCCTCAACCTTGAGAAATACTAGATGACCCATTGCGCCAATGACGCAAAGGGCGAGAATGAACCAGGTTTTCAAACCATGCAAATTGGCATATTTAGTTAGACACCGTTCATAAATTTGTTGAAGCATAGAAAGGCATGAGATCAGTTCATGGTGAGCAAAGCTACATAGGCAGAGATGCATCATATATATAGTTTTGGTCACCCAGCCTATGGTAACTCAAGAGATCAGTTCATGCCACCTCTGCTTCTAAATATAACATGTTTTTACATTTCAATTCAAACTGCAAAAAAATCTTACATTTAGGAACGAAGGGTGTACATTATATACAGGAGCACTCGGGTTCAGACAATGAAATCAAAGATGTCCTATTCATGGTGGTGTTTCAAGCATATAGTACGGCCGATGATCCTTCTGTTCTGAGTAGTGCAAATCGGCTTCCTCATTTATTCATCATCCGCACCATCCTTTACCAGCAACTCTCGATCAAACTAATTTCTTGTTGGAAAATGTCCTTGTTGGGCTGAGCCTCTGCTGGAGGGAGTATCATCCAAAAAAACAAAGTCTACTATGTTTGGGAGGAGCTCACAACATATGGGAGTCTTGTACCTGCCCCGGGATGTACAAAAACACTCCTGAATTCACCATAGAATAATATAATGCATGTTAACAATGCGATTTCATATGTTCATATAGTCATGTACTTTTGCTTGAGGAGAAATTTGGTGTGAAGACACGGATTACCCTGAGATGCAGAAGAAATGTATGGTCTAAGAAATTCATGGCATTATTAAGTTGCCGGAGTATTGTGCAGGAACATGAGGATCTGGCAACGTTACTTAGCATGCCAAGAACATAAGAATATAGAAGTATTAGGGCCTCTTTGGATTGAAGGATTTTCATAGGATTCCAATTCATTGGATTTTTTCCTAAAGAAGCCCTTTGGATCAAAGGAACCACACCTCCAAAATTCCTATGGATGCATTCCTACACCTCAATCCTATAGGAATTTCAACATCCACTATAACCTCTTTTTTACACTGATTCGCGTAGGATCGAGGCACTTTTCCTGTGTTTTTCCTGTGTTCCATCCAAATGACCATTCTTTTAGTTTTTCTCTATTTTGTAATCCTCTGTTTTGCACCTACAATCCCGTCAAATTCCTGTGTTTTTTGAATTCCTTTGTTTTCTAATCCTGTGATCCAAAGAAGCCCTTACACACCATATAAATGGATTTATTAATTTTCCAGGATGTGACACCATGCCCGTAAACCAGATTCAAAATGACAGTTGAAGAGATAAACTTATGCATGCCATGATGCAAGTGTAACCAGGACTACTATGCCCTCTATACAGTATATAGTCGGCCAAAACCAAAGGCATATGGTCACATAAGTGTGCAATAGCAAACACGGGTGCAAAGATATAAAACATAAACTTGTACCGATTCCTATGATTGGTTGTGCATGAGCAAAAATAACATTAACCAACTTGCGACCGACAAAGAAGAAGAGGACATTAAATACGTAACCTATTTCCCCCACAAAAAAAACATTAACCTATATATGCATCATCACTGTGGTTAAGACATCCCGGGCTCCTACAGTATGAATTGACTACAGAAAACCGAATTCATCAACTGAATCACATAGATAGAAAGAGCTTGCTCAATGGCAATACTTAGTAAATACTAAGACCAGTCAAACATTGCACCAAAGGGAACAATTTAAAATCTATACTTGCATGGGTATATAGTTTTAAAATAAGGCAGTAGCAATGATACAAGGGAACACAACAGTTCTATAGGTGACAGTTTCGTATAGCCAACCCTCACAACACCTTAAAAGGAAATAGGCTGCAACTTTCAAAGCCAAGTCGCAACTGGACAACCAGCGAATAAGCATCTCAACAAACCAAACAAGCAACACCAGCCCTACAACCAGGTAGCCTGAGCCTGAAACCAACGCTTCCCTCGAGATTTCTGCATAGAACAAAGGATCACAATCCAACCACCAAAATGCAGGCATGAGCTAACCAATAAAGAAGCACCTCAATTACGTAATTCCGAGTAGGGAAGGTCGACTAAGAACAGTACAAATATTATATACACAGATCCTTAATTGTCAGAGCTTAGTTGCAGTAGCGAACATCTCCAGTGCGTGTACCAAGTTTAGTATGACATTGCTCTTACATTGTTAGTCCGTCTCCACATATTTTTTAGCTGGTATTGTAAATGTGGTGCCTTAAAAAGAAAAGGGAAAAGGAACATACAGAGACTGTCAAATATCGATTGGTTGTGTTGGATTTCCATTAAACCAAACTGAAACGAACTTCCATCTCCGTTACAGCCATAAATGGTCTCTTATATCCAGAATAGCAAAGTAGTGTGCTGCAAAGCTACAAAAATTTATATCAAATTAAACATCAAGCCCGAGACAATTTTTGAGCCCATAACTATATGTTCTAGAGATCACTGCAATTTTTAAAATCATAGATTGTTGAATCATTTCTAACTAAATGGTCAAGAATCACCAAAAAAATTCATTCGCTAACTATTGTAGTTGCAAAATCAATTTACTATCAAACTTCAGAAGTAACTAATCAGCCAATGAGTATGAAGACTTCCATAGCTAACGAATATAAACATACAATTAGTTGCACGAAGATAAGTATAATGCTCCCTAAACCTCTCCACTCCTTGGCCAGACGCTAGAACACACAACACGAGGCTTATCATGCCGATTGTGTCCGAAACAAAGATCAACCACACTGGGAAAAAAAAACTTCACAAACCTCAAGATTTCTCACTTCTTAAACCCATTGAAACAAAACACAAGGAAATTAATCACAAGAAGAGATTTATTTACCTTCCCAGTGAGTTAGGACCTGACCAAGGTATGTAGATCCTCATCATAAGAACATCTTACGTGTACAATCTTGTTGTATGTAACTACAAAAACAAGAATTCTGCCTGTCAGTGGCCATTTAGCACATCCAAATAAAAAAAGTATGAACCATGGTCTTGGGGACGTATGAGGGATCTCACACCACTCGATTAGCTTAGCCTCATAGCTGCAACCACCCACCAGAACCATCGGAACCAAACACACCTCATAAATGGTTCGCCATAAACACATCAAAATACGAAGGAGAATTAGTTGAGGTAGTGTGATAAGTTTGTTCGACCAATTCAATCACTCCAAAAATTACCCAAGCACTCGACTGCTAATCCTCCCCCGGTTTTACCTTCTCAAATGTTTGATTTTTTCATAGTAGTTTGGTATTTTCCCTCAGGTGGGTAATGCGCCATCCTTTAATGATTAATCAT